CGAGACCTCCCACTGTCCGAGCGCGCTACGCGCGTCGACGCGACCTCCCTGTGAGGACCAAAGAGACTGGACCTGTCCTTTCTGTTCAGCTGGACTTCCGGCCTTCCAGAACTACCACCAAAAACAGAAAACGTCCGGCGCCGCTACAATACCAAGCATCCGCGCCGCGACGCATCCAATGCGGCTATCCAAGAGCTTTGGCAGCAGCAGCGCCGACTGAACAAGCGAAATGCAGCCCCACATTTCGGCCGGCTATGCTCGAAGTCGCGGGAAGAGATTGGCACAGCGACGTGGAACGATGTTCACCTGCACTGGCTCCCTCCGCATTGCCCAATAACGAGACCGGCTCCAAAGCAGTTCCCAGCACCGCTGCGTGCGCCAGATGGAAGGGCGTCTGCAGACATGCATCCAACAGGAACCAGCCTCTGAACATCTGGAAGCTCAGCAAAGCCGAAGCAGATGATCGAAGAAGGTGTCGAACCCCAGCCTGGTCCCCGCCCTGCGACTGACTAGGGTGGCGCCGCCAATGGCGCCACCACTGGCGAGGACGATGAAGGAGGGGACAGCGATGATGACGACCCTCACCTTTACTCACCTCACAATGCACAGCGCTCACGGCGTAATGCTACCATCCTGTCAGTCAATGTGAAACGCAACGGAACTCTGGCGGCGTCTTGCACTCTTGCATCAGATTGCTGATATCCTACACTGATGGGCCCCCCTAGTTGGAGAACTTGTAAAGTGCCCTAAAATATGTTATAACATGGGTAAACGGATGTTGTAAGCTGGTCTAAGTTTGTGAAGTGTTCTAAGTTCTTGGTGGTATTTTCGTTGCAGTTGCAAATTACTTTCGATATATACATATATATATATAAGCAAGTTATCTTAGTTTATGTTGGAGGGTGCTAAAGCATTTACAACTTATTTAGGGAACTTGGGTTTTTGAGTTGAAAAAATTGTGTTTTTTTGTGGACGGGTTTGCAGAGAATCGTTTTTTCTTCTATTTTTTGTGTAGTCTTCTTATTTGCATTTCGACTGATTAGCACATCTTTGTATTTTGTGTTGTTTTGGAAACATTTTTCTTTTTTATGGGCGCGATTGTTTTTTCGGTTTTAGTCGTGAATAATTTGTGGGGTGGTGGTCCACCCGTACGACAGAGTAGTACTTTGCATGCAGAAACACGTAAACGTGCAATATGCACACGTAGTAGAATATAGTGTAACGAATCCATTATGTAGGGTGGTGTTCAATTTGTTGAGTTTCTGTGAATCGGGCTTCGTTGATCTTCACGGATGTTGGTTCACGAGTTGGTTCCTTAAGTTTCTTTTAACTGGCCATGGAACAATTAGAAGCCATGCGGACTTGAGAAAAATTGACTAATTGCAATGCGCTGTTTTTCGCAGGTGTGAACATTCTGGCAATGATCCATTCAGCACCACTAACCCCAACCCTGTTATTGTTTTCATGGGGCGGCCGATGCTGAGTAGATTGACGCATCACAAGACGCATGCACGCACACGCACAGCCCCTCAAAAAATCTGATGTAACCTGACGAACAAGAGGCTACGTGTACGGTAGATGTACGGTAATGTACGGGGATGTACGGTAGATCTACCGTACATGTACGGTAATGTACGGTAGATCTACCGTACATTCCCGTACATCTACTGTACATAGCCTCTTGTTCACCAGGGCGCATTGCATTTTTGGGAGGCCCGACCACCGGCCACAACTTTGTGGGCGGACCACCGCCATCCTTGTTTGACGGACCACCGCCGTCAATTTTTTGGGACGGACCGCCGTCCTCAATTTTTGTTGGACGGACCACCGCCCTATTTTTTTCAAGGACCACCGCCTCTTTTCAACGGACCACCGTCCACAAATCTTGGTTTGTCCACTGTGCGTTGCACGTTCGTCGCGGCGGTCCGCAAGACAGTTGCTTCTTTCGTTTGTTTTTCTGGTGTTTTTCTTTGTGGTTGCACGGCGTGTTCCTAACACGTAGATGTAGGTCATTGTGTGTGTTCTGTTTTCTTATGCGTTTTGATGGTTTAAAGTAGAAAGTGTTTTTCTTTTAGCGCGGTGGTGGTCCACCGAAGAAATTCAAAACGATGTTTTTTTGGGCCTTTTGTTTTTCTTCAGCAAAGCAGAGCGGTGAGTGTTTTACATTTAAAAACATTACAACAGCAGCGCTTTCCCAGGTAAAAAGCATAGTTTTTCGATGTCCTTCGATTTGGGCCTTGCTACTGGGAAACTTGAAAAAGCATATTTCTTGAACATCAAAATCACCAGTTAGAACTTACAGAACTTCAAAATAGTTACATTTAAGTTACATCTTACTTACGAAGCCGTCCAGCTAACTTAGTTTTAAGTAGTTTGTAACTTCACCAAGTAAGATACAAGTGTTTTAATTGGGGGGCCCATCAGTGTAGGCATCCAAGAAGCCTGTCTTCGGCCTTCTGAATTTTGCACTGCTCAGGCTAAGCTGCGAAAGCTGAACTTCCACTCCTACTACAGTCTCGGGCGAAATGGCGCACAAGCTACGGGGGTAGTGACTGTGGCTGTTCGGACAACATTCCCTCACAAACTCGTGGCCAAGCGCGAGCATGATGACTTTCAGCATCTTCTTCTCGAATGTGGCACTGGATTCACTGGATTTTGCCTGCAGCCACATCCCTCCTCCTCGCGCTCACCTCCTGGACGTTGGACTTAGCGCTCTCCAGGGTCTTCTGCGCACCACACAAGCAGCCGCAGGGCATAGACCTTGGATTTGTGTGGGCGGTTACAACTCTACACCAGCAGACATCGCCCCTTTGCTCCAGCTGTTCGGTGGCGAACTGGTCTCCAGTCCAAACAAACCCGTCGGCAGAGCAACCGCTTCATTGATCACATGTGGTCGAGAAGCCAACAGCTCACTGTCACTGCAGCAAGGTGACGTTGACGCCCTTTGGACGTGCTTCATTGACACTCTGCGCCTCCTGTTCCAGACTGCGGCTACCGCTCTTTCCACACCATCCAGCAGGCGCCTGCTCAACCACGGCGGACACCTACCACCATGTTTCTGCGAAAGCAGAGCAACTGGCTCGATCAAGCCGTCCCTAAAGCCATCCACACACACATTGGACACAGCTTTGGCCAAAAGATCCACACCACTACACAGCGTTTACCCACCTATCCCAGTCTCCAAGACCGCCCTTCAGTCTCTGAATTTGCCGGTGCCAGGGCTCAATTGCGGGGGGCGGCCGGACCTGATGGCCTGACTTGTGGAGGAACTGCAGTGGCTCCCTGATCATGATTGGTTCAGTTGCATCATTGCAATCTGGGAAACCGTCGGACTTATCCCTGCAACTGTGACCTCAATGCCAAACCGCACAAGGTGCTTGACTACCGGCGGTGGAGCGGTACCTGGGCTCGAAGCAAAATGGTGACTACCTGGCACACTCGGACATTACCCCCATGCGTTGTCGGGGCCCGCAAAGCGCCGGAACTGAAGAGTTGGCGCCCCAGCTTTCTGATTCCCTCTTGACGCAAGGGTACTTCGCCACACCCACGATTACTCTCTGGCTTTCGATTATGTTCTGCCGGCTGCCATCACCACGGCTATGAAGCATATAATACCGCGTGGCCTGGCAAACGTTCTTCAAGCTCAATGGTCCTGCCAACGGAGATTCCCCCAGCGGCGCGCCAGTTGCTGTGCTGAGCCGCTCCGCACATTTCCTCAAGGGAACCCAATGACCCCGCTTGCGCTCAATCTGCTGATGTGGGCTGGCTTGCGCTTTCAACGCACATGCCCTAGCCCTCCTGGAGCTCGTCAACGTGTGATCTACATGGACGACCGCGCTTGGACAACCAATTCACAACACCTTCTTCTCCAGGCTTTGGATGCGTGGCGCCAATTTAGCAATGCAGTTGGTTTGAAAGAGAATGTCTTCAAAACACAACTTTTTTTCTACACCTGCGGCACAGCGTGCCCTACAACAGACTTATTTGCACACCGGCCAGACCTCCGACAGGCTGTCACACCTTCGGCCTGTGTTCTCGGCTCATGTAAAGGTCGCTCGTGAACTCCACGCCAATTAAGGAGCAGCAGCGTCTGGATGAGGCTACCACGCTTTGCACCAAGATCCGGTTCCTACCCACGGATTACCAAACCAAACTGCAAGCAGCTCGTTCCTAGGCTGCGAGCAAAGCCACCTATGGATGGGTTGCTTTTACACCTCCAGCACTAGCAATCGCAAGATTCGATGCAGAGCTTTCAGCGCCAGATGCTCCTGGGTGGAGTCCATGGCCTCGAGATTGTCATCAGGGCCAGACAGTGATACTCTGGGGCAAACGTTACGTGGCGACTGCAACAGTTCTCCAACCCAGACTTCAATGGCCCGGTATCAATGCTGCAACACTTTCGCCTCCCCAACCCGCCGCGGCCCTTCCCTCTCGTGGTCAGGCCTATGACGCCAACCGAGTTACGCTGGCGCGGAAAATCCCGCAGCACACTTCCAGCGCTGCAGTTGCTGTCTTGACCGGCAACTTCACCAGCCCAGCTTGCTTTGCCAAGAGACCCCTTTCTGCGCCGAACCACAGGCTGATGTTCGACACTTGTTCTGGGAGTGCAAGCAGCGCCGCATTGCAGGCCGAGCTGCAGATGGATTGGAAGCTCGATTTGGGCGGCCCACGCGCGAGCTGCACCTCACCAACTTGGAGGCCGTGGATGGCCCTGACGGTTGAGGACATCTGGAGTCGCCCTCACGCTGCCAAAGGACAATGGACTCGTCAGGTTTACCGCCCGAAAGGCTTTTCGTTAAGACAGCCACTTTGCCGTCGCAAGCGGCGGCGCACTGATGCCTAGCGCCCTGGTAGGGGCCACACAGCTGCTGCCAGACGATGGTGGTTTGTTCTGCTCTCGGCAAGAGCAGCAACCGACGAACCACCGGAGGTTCATGCAATGCCCATGGTGGATATATCTAGGCTTACAAGTATGGAGCTTTCTGGAACAAGAGCAGTCGAGCAGTCGAGACCACAAATGGTTCCCGTTCGGCCAGACCCAGAAGTTATGCCGACCGTAGGAGCGCGCGCCTTCCTTGTGGAGAATCATTGCGATGAATGTGTACTTTTTTTGGCTGACTGTGCTACTGCCGCACTTGTCATCTAAGAACAGCTTTCCCAACTCCTGGTAGCAACGCAAAACAGTGCGGAAGTGAACGTGTTGCGCGGTCAAGAGGACAGCAATTTGACGCAACACAGACTCAGACCGGACACGCGCCCATGGTGACAGCTTTGCAGAACATTCATGCATTGCTGTTAGACCAGGTTTGTCCTCTCGACTCCTTGGCACCACCCAAGCGTATTTGCCTGCGTGCTATTGTGTATATGCTGCCCCCAACACTTATTTAGTTGATGCAGTCCGATGTGTACCAGCGCAAAGGTTCGGTTTGTTTGCGCCTGTGACCGTACCTCAGGCTAGGTGTGGCGCAAGATCTTGTAGAGTCGTGGATTTATTTTTAGGTTCTTATTTCAGTGCACCATCTTTTTGCCACGCAAAAGTTCTGATTGGCGCCAATGTAAAGGAAACTGGTGGAAGAACAGAAAGAACATGTGTAACTGTAGGCCTGATCTTTAGTGGAAGCTGGTGGCGCTATGTCCTGACCAGAAGAACAGAAAGCAGACATGTGACATGTGTAAAAAGGCCGATATTGGCGTAAAGATATTGGCAAAAATATGTTGCCCAGTTGGCGGGGGATCTTGGAGTTCCAGGTTCTAGAGTTAGAAGCTGAGAAAGACAGAAGCGGGGTTTTGTCAGGATGGAAGCAGGTGTTAGAGTTCAGAGAGGACAAACAAGAACGTGATACAACAAAACAACACCAATCGAAGAAACACTTGGCCTGGAACTGTTATTTTGAGGGCTGTTCACCTAAGTTTGCCCCCGAGTTGAGCCAGCGTGTTGAGCTTTGGATCCCCGCTCTCGGTCTGTTTGCTTCATTCGAACGTCCCAACCCCGCATGAGACAGTGATGAAACTCGTTACACCCCGAGCGTCAAAAGAAGGATTTTTTTGCAGTTTATGGTCATTTTGTGTTTGTAGTTTTTGTGAAATGATTGCACAAACCAGCCGGCTGCGAAAGATTACGAAACAGAACAGAACAAGGAGTCGTGGTGCCTTTCAACCAAGTGGCTAGTGCCTAGCTCGTTGCTGTAGTGCCCTGCAAGTTTGTTGACGCGGAGAAAGAGCAGCAGACCCAGGCAACACAACCCAAAGACAAAACTGGAGTGATTTATTAGTCGCACAAGAGCACCTGCAAGGGCAAACGCATCATCACAACAATCCAGCTACCAGAGCCAAAACTGCATCAACATTGAAAACACGATGGTACGGTCAACCTAGATGGGGTGCGGAGAATGCGTATGAATGAATATGGATCTTGCAGGCGGCACCATTGTGTTTGTTCAAATATGCGTTTCGCTCGAAGTCGTTGTGGCCCATGCGCTGTGACTAATTATTTCGGCACTCGGCTGGTTGATTGTCAGAGGGCATGGGTGACATTGCAGTTGCAGATGTTGCAGATGAGACATGTTCAAAGCCCTTCACAAGGTCAGTGCTGATGGCTATACCTATGAAAGAGCTGCCATTGCCAGATGGTTTGAGACGCACAGCCCTCGCGAAGTGATCGTGATTGGTTGTTCAAAAATGTCAACTCGTTTTTTCGCAACAAAGGTCGCGGAAGAGCCCTGTCACTGGCCAGACTTTGCCACATGCTGATTTGGCCCCTTGTTGGAGAAAGAACGTGTTTGAAATGGTTTGCAGATCCCACCCATCTTCGTTTTATGCCATCAACCGGCTTTGTTGGTACTTTGGACCAGTGGGAGTCCGAGGTCCCAAATCAATCAGTACGAACCCTTTTGAAGACGATCATTGACATGACAGAAAAGCACCAGGCAAAACATGTTGCAGTTTGCACGATTTTTTGCATCGTTTGGCACGTCAGAACCAATGTAATTGCAACATTCCTATCAATTGGTTTGAACGGCGCAAGAGGTTATCTGACTCTGTTTATTCATTTTTCTATTTTGCTGAAACTTTAGGGATTTGTACTTTGGGCAGGAGAAGAGTGCGCAAAGCCATGGAAAACATCGTGACTCTTCAAGTTCTGATGGTTGGTTTGGAACGTGCGAGCGCTGCGAAGTGGCAGATCGACGCAGCGAAGCAGATCAAACGGAGACCTCCAAGGAGGCTCAGAAAGTGTGGTCAAAAGCGAGAACCAGCTGCTCATCGGCTTCAGCATCCTCTGTGCCTGTCTCAGACTGGCCAAAATGTTTAGGGTATTGAAGCAAAATTGTACCAATATTGAAATATTGCAATCTTTGCAAGATGGTTTTGCGTTTTGCAATGAGAGTTGGCTTCAGTGGTTTTGCGTGCTAAGAGCAGCTCTTCCTCTTCATCCTTTCCGCAAGTTGGTGTGGGCGTGGGACTTGGTGGGTTATGACCTCAACCCAGGTCTTGGGCTAAGTCTTGTTCGGTGCCGCCAATGACTTGAAATTGAGAAGTGCGTTTGATTGTGTCATTTCAATCTGGCTCAGCTACCAAAGCACCGGATGTCCAGCTTCAACCTCAGGTGTCCCAAGTAGCAGTCACGAGGATGACATGGTGGTTTGTGACTTGTACATATATACTTGTACAGTGCACCAAATGAAGATATTCAAGAGAGCAGTTTGCTCAGTTGAAATTTGCTATGGGTTGTGCTGCTAGGATATGTGAATGGTGACCATGACGCAGATAGGTTTGCCAAGTAAGGAGGTGAAACTAGGTAAGTCTAGAGTCCTCCAACAGGCAGGGACCCAGAAGAGGAGTGTTTAAGATTAGAGCAAACGGGACCTTTGAAGCAGCACTGACGTGAAGGTTGTATTTCCTTGTTCCAATTGCAATTAACAGGTTTGGTTCTATTTTGCATGACAGCCACAAGAGGCTGCATCTGCAGGATATTAGGCATTGCGAATTCAAAAGAGGCAGACATTCTTGAGCGCTCTTCCAAGACTTGACCATTCCCGTTGCATGGGGTTGTTGATCAGCTAAGACCAGTCCTTCTGAGTGATTTTAGTGACTGGTGCAAGCCAAAAAGCATAAATGATCAACTGAATCGAATGTGTAGATTTTGTGGAGCTGTTTGGCTTTCTTAGGGAAGGAGCTGTGCGTACAGCGGCCTGTGAAGCCGTGGCGAGTGTTGTAAGCTTCCGGCGTGAAAGGTTTGCTGCAAATGCAAGTACTGCAGTTGACGGCGTCAAGAAAAACCCAGAGTACGTGTGTGGGAGCCCTGATAGCTGTCCAGGCTTCATTGTCGCAACATCGTCGTGTCATGGGAGTGGCTCAAACTCAAACAGGGTAGTTGGTAGGCGCTACATTGAAGCATAAGACTTGATACAAGTTGAGCAAAGCTGATAGAAGCTAACAGGAAGAACGCCTTCAAGGCCATTCATGTCATGCTCCATCAGTTGAATGGGTTTACCATGGTTTACCTAGCTTGTCCAGCTTGCGGCAATTTAGAAAGATGGCAGAAGGCTCGAAGGAAGAACTTACTCCACAACAGGTGCCCGACAAAGCTCATCACAAGTTGGACGACTGCCACAAAGTCCAGCACAGCTATATAATGGACCCTTCTTCTTGTGCGCTGAATAGTGGTGCTTGTACAGCCGCACCAAGGATGAACTGGATTGCTTGTAGTAAAGAGTTTCTTCCCTTCTTTGTCGGGGCGTGGTCCATGAGCTCTATGTTGAACCCAAGAGTTCAGTCCATATTTCTTCTCAAACAGCAGTTTTCATCTCACTACTTCACTAAACATTGGACTGCCTGGCCGTGCCCGCTTGACCCCGCACTGCCTTTTCACTTTGACTTCCTGGTAAGCCGGATCTCAAACAATTATACTTGCTAGCAGCTTGTCGTACTATGTCATACTATACAATATTGTGCATGTTTTGTCTCAGTGTTTCTTCCTTCAGAGCCTCACATCATCTCCCAGCTGCTTTGCATGTTTGGCATGCCCTCGAGCAGGTGCAAGCCACCTACCAGCAGATAGAGAAAGAATGTTCTGTGATGATCAACAAGGCTGGCATCAACCTCGCTGAGATATTATTGTCCTTTCTGCAAACCGCAGATTGCAGAGTTGGAACAAGAGCTCAACGAGCACTCGTTGGTTATCAAGGCTGCGCATTGGAGGGAGACACCGAGAAAGGGAAGAGGGAAGAAAGCATCGGGGGTAGATGTTTATATGAGATTGATTGTCTAGAACTTAGGCATGATCCAGAGATGACATCCATCCAGGGACAACGCGGACAAATCATGAAGTGTTAGCGATACAGCAAAAGGGTGTGTTTGCTTCGTGCAGGCGCAGTAACGCAGCACTGGTTGTAAAGCGCCGCCTTCGCTACCCCCGACATTTGCGACCACAAGCACCACGAAACCCTCAAGGCACAGGAGGTCCAGGGGAGCCCAATGTATATGTGTATTATATATATACAAATTGGGATTTGTTTGATTCAGCTTTTGTTGCTAGCCTGCCTAGCCTCCAGAGAAGGTGACACTTGGAGCCAAGAAGTGTGCCACTACAAGCTTTCCAGCGTGGTTGCTCCAAAAGAGAGCAGTGGAAGATCAGGAGGCCCAGATAGAGGGCCACGTAGGGAGAACCAGGTGGGCGCGAAGTGCTTCACTAGTGTTACACAAGTATAGGAGGAAGAGACACCGGTGAGGTGAAAGAGCTGGTTGTCATTGGAGGCTGAGAGGCGTTGAAGAATCAGAACAAAAGGAGAAGAAGAAGAAGAGAACAAGAAGAAGAAGAAGATTTGGAGAGGCGCAGGAGATCTCCACAAATTTTGTGTACTTTTGGAAAGGTGGCTCCTGAGCGCAGAGGAGTGTTCCGCAGGGCAAAAATTGTGGCGCGGCAGTGCAATTTAAGCGCAGTGTTAAGATGGAACAGACGCTCGCACCAAGGTCAATGCTAGCCATCCCCAAAATGCAAATTCATGTGACATTGAACGAGTGCAAGGATTTCGTGTCAAAGACCTAGATACTTCTCACGGCAGCGCAGCCACGGAAGGAGAGAGCGTATGTAGAAGTTGATGGCACCGCCCACGGGCTGATCAGATGCTTGCTTCGACAACGAACAGCAGCTTCGCAGCGGTTCCCATTTTTTTGCAAAGATTGCAAAAGGTTTTGGATTGGATCAGGACGTCACGCGGCCTGGTTGGACGATGTTTTCATGGTAGCTTTGTGATCTACTTGCAGGACAAGAATAAGAAGAGGTGGAACATTGAGGAGAAGAATCCATGTTGCATCGGCAAAATCAGCCTATACCCTTCGCTGTGACTACAAATAGTATGAAGGACCAGAATTTCAGCAAGAAGGAAGAGACTGGAGAGCTGCACTGCGCATTAAGGACATCACAAACTACAGGAATGTTGTCGGACAGCTGATGCATTTGGCCGGAGAAGGATTGTTGCTCAGCTCAGCGCCCAGACCTTGGCTAGATGCATGTCGAAGTGCAGAAAGCAAGTGCGGAGACACGCGTGGCCTGTGTGCTCCTACTTGCCAGGCACCAGGCGCCATTGGCTTTAGTGTGGGCGTTGGAGCAAGGTCCACAGGGCAATCTGTCACACCTGAGAGACCCACAAGAAGACCAAGGCAAAGATAACCACTTATCACCGTTGATGAAAATGCAGACAGCAGAAGTCACCGCCCACATCCTTCCAACTGTTCATCGACGGCGTTGGTGGAACGTCGAACGAGGCAACAGAAGTCAATCTTGTCTTCTGGAGAGCCTGAGTTTGTTGCCACGGTTGGAGGATGGACTCCTTGCACGGTATCTGTGGAACAAGATGGCTGGTGAAGAGCGTGAAATGAAGGCGCGGTCTGACCGCTCAGCAGCAAGACTTGATGGCGCGGTAAGAAATTTGATCAAGCGAAAGCTGTCTCGTGAACAGCATAGGAGGCAGGATTGGAGAAGATGATCGCCAAGAGCTTGAGCGCAAGGATCGCGGGCGAAAAGGTCCACGTTAGCTTGCTTGGTACCCTGTCAAATTTGGGCAAACGCCAGCATATTTAGGATGCGAATCCCCAAACCTGGAAGGGGAATTGAGCGTGGGTGTTGGGAGTTTGTGGAAGCTCACACCGACCACTGCAGGCCACATCACAGAGCGCCGTGCTTCATTCTTGCCCCCCAACCGTGGCGCGGGCGCCAAGGGGGAAGCACTGAGGCAAGCTTCGCGGTGGACTGGAAGAGCGTGGAGCGGCCCAAGGAAAAGAAGGCTGGACAGCGCGTTCAAGTCGAAAACGCGGTGGGGCCGCTGGCGACAAGCCAGGAAAAGGTCCACGCAAAGAGGATCGGCGCGAAATTACAGGCGAGAAAAAGGCATTGCGGCAGCGGGAGACTTCAGGAGCTATCTCCATTTGGGTGCCAGTTCGGCGTCCCCATCATGTGCTTCCTGGATTTGGTGTCAAGGTTGCGAATTGGCATCGATTTATATAGGGGCATCGCTTGTCGCCGGCTTGAGATGAACGTTGCGCACGAACTTTTGCGCGGCGTCAAAAGCGGCAGCAGAGGAGCCAGTAAAGAGTCTACATTCCGATGTTGCCCCTGGGGTTTGTGGAGCGAGTCAAAAGCCTCCGTCCATCATACATACATACATACACCCATGAATCCATACATCCATCCATACATCCATCCAAACATTCATACATACATACGTACACACACGTACATAATATGTACGTACATACGTACGCCCACACATACACACGCACATACGCATACACATACAAACATACATACAAACATACACACACATACACACCTACGCACCGACATGCATACACACACATACATACATACAGACATGCGCGCATCTGTCCTTACTTACCGACCTACCCACCGGCCTACTTATTTATACATACATACATACATACACACATACATATTTACATGCATGCACGCAACCTTCATACACAGATCCACGCTTTACACACATACATATTGGGGTGTGACATGCATTTACAAATGTTGTACCGGCGCACAAAGCAAAATACATGGGCACCCTTGACATCTACAAAATGCAATTCATGCACCCATTCTATAGTGAGGGTACCGTGGAGGAAAAAGGCGAAAACTTGAACATTGCATTTTGTAGAGCGGTCGTTTTCAAAAAATCATCCAGGGTCACAGTGGCTGGAACCTTTTGGTTGTGGCCTGCCCATCCAGTAAATCGCTTCCACAAGGTTGTGAAAAACATACACAGTGCCCGAAACTCCTGTGTTGTAAAAAAATGTATCAAACACAAGATCCTTGGCTTGACAGGGTTGGCTGTCATTTCATGTTCTGACTTGCACCAGGCATTTGACAAAGTTGACTCAACACGACGTTGTTTCCGTATGGTGGCCGTCTCAGTTGGTGTCTCAAGTGGATCTGGGTTGGATACGCTCTTTCGCAAAGGTCGGAGGTGTCTTAGTCGAGCGCACAGTTGCAGAGGTGCACAATTCAAGACTATTTTTGTTCTTCAACTTCAATTGATTGAAAGGTGCGGCCTGCTGTAGAGAGCAACTTGGACAAAATCCAGCAGGCAAGATTGGGAGTCACTGCTTGAGCAACTAGTCTTGTATCCCAAGAGCTAGGCCGTGAATCAGCTGCAAGAGCAGCTAAAGAAGAAGACCGAACAAAGGAGTGCTGCAAAGTGCCGATCGATGTTGGTTCTCAATTTTTGGCAGTTTCGGAGGACACAGTTCATCAAGAAG